GCGGGGGAGTTGAAAGCCGCGTTGCGGGGATCGTTTGCCGCGCCCCGACGGGACACGATAAATCGACCCCCGAGAGGTCGATTTCTCCCCGCCGATTCAGGCGGGTAGTATAGACCAGACCTGAGATTCTCCTGCCCTCTTTGTCCCATCATGTTCACCTAGTCCTCACAGTATGTCTGTTCGTCTCCTGACAGCTAACATCCTCCGAGAGGGCAAGCTAGGTTCAATCCTTTGAGGACAATGTGAGATGGTGATCATCTTTACCTAAACTTCTGCCTGACCAGACTGCAGGGAAGTGCCAGCCATCTTAACTAAGGATAATCTGTGGCTTCAGTTCCACTGAAACAATCATACATGGTGGATACATTGAAAAAGAGCAATTTTTTGTGTTTACAGGAGATTTTATGACCTTTAATCCTAAATATTTCTGTTCAACAACTACCCATGGTTGCAGATCACCTTAAGAGTCACCTCTCAGCCAATTTTTTTTGTAAATTTAAACATAAAATCTGAAGAACCCTATCAAATTTCAGCTAGAACCAATTTCAAACACTTCCTATTCCAAATTTATTACACTAAAACAAACAAAAAAAATCTACACAGAAAATTCAAAGGACATAAAAACTAACACTGAAATTTCACACTGAAACCACCCACAGACAAGTAGAGAAAAAAAGAGATGCATGTCCTATTAGAATACCATCTTATGTCTGGACCGGCACCTCCATAGTATGATCTCATGATGATCTCTCATGGGCTTTACACTGGAATAAATCCACTGATTTCAGAGAAATTAATCCTGATTTACATGGATGTAAATAAGAGAATCACTATCATGGGGAAGATTCTCCAGTCTTTAGATTTAGAATATCCTTATTCCACAAGTAGTCCCAGCTTAACTACGTGACTACCTGCATGCATGAAGTTACTCATAAGCATAAACATTTGCAGGGTTGGGAGCTAACTTGATACGGGTATAAGAATCTGGCTCTGTGTTCGTATTTCTAATCCACCCACTGTGCAATGGGGTTTCTGGGCACCAAAAGGGAAAGATAATGAAACAATTTTTCATAAAAGAAAATTTTGGAGGCTTCTTAGCTCATTTTTGAGGAATATTTTCCCCTAATCAAAATTCAAACCACAGTTTAGCTTTTCTCTTTCCTGAGAGTGCCTGGATTATATCAAATCTCTGCAATTGTGCTAATTCTGCTTTTGTGTGATTAAATTAGTTTTGACATTAGGCTAGGCTTGGAACCATTTTAAGGTACATATTACTGGGGAAAGGTGACATTGTAATAATAACTTTTGTTTCCTTGATTGTATTATAAATCTGTCCAATGGAATTTAAGTAATTTAGACAAAAATGTCCTAAAGTATATTGACTTTTATATAGATTTAACTTTTTATAGAGTATATATTTTAAACCCTATAGACAATATTAGTATAACCGCATTTTATATCATGAATCATATGGAATAGGAATTTGTTTTGATAACAGACTTGCTTTGCCAACATTTTAAATTATTTTATAAAAGAGCTTGGATATAACCAGAATTTTATAGAACTTTTGTGGAATAAAAAATGTGAAGAATTACTGTAGTTTATTTATTTCCTTAAATGAACCACACCATAAAACGAGCCAGCACTTTAAAAAAAACATTTCCCTAGATGCTCTTAATTGCTGGGCTGCTGCACTACACCACTATGAAATGGCTGATGGTCACCATCTGGAGTTCTTTATTACACAAAGGGAAATCACTGAATAATATATTTAATTATATAACATGACGACTGTAATTAGCCAAGATAAAACATAATTACTCCAAATATAGGCTTTTAGAATCCTACCATGGCTTGGCTGGATGTTTTTAAAAATAGCTTTCCTCCTGCAAGCAGCTTAGCAACATGGGTTAATGTGCATTCAATTCCATCTATTTCTTACCCTGGAGTGTTTCTGTAGTGTATGTTGACAACTGTAGCATGTTTATAGTACAAACTGTACTGTGAATTAGGCATTTCAATTTGTTCAAGCTTTTCTAATGTAAGAAGAATGTGGGCAAAGCTAGCGAAACAAAAAAACAGGTTTTCAAAATCTTCCTTCATAAAGAAAGAAACTTTTTATCAACAGTAAATGCGATGTGAATAGGCCAGCAGAAGAGCTAATTGTTTTTGTTTAATGAGCACTGTGCATTTAGCTAGTGGTTATGTTGTCAATAGTGTGTGACTATATTAAACTATGAAGTCTACTCAGATTTATATTAAATAGATAAGCTCTAAATAATATAATGTTATTTTGGGAGGAAATTACTGTGTATCAGTTTATTTTAGAACTGGTTATGTTAGCTCAGGGGTGGGCGAACTTTTTTGCACGAGGGTCACATCTGGGAATACAAATTGTAAAGCGGGCATGAATGCTCACAAAATTGGGGTTGGGGTGCAGGAGGGGATGAGGGCTCTGGTTAGGGGTGAAGGTTCTGGGGTGGGGCCAGAAATGAGGAGTTCAGGGTGCAGGATGGGGTTCCAGGGTGGGATAGGGAAGTGGGGTCTGGGGTGTAGGAGGGTGTTCTGGGCTGGGACCGAGGGGCTCGGAGGGTGGGAGAGGGATCAGGGCTGGGGCAGGGGGTTGGGGTGTGGGAAGGGGTGCAGGCTCTGGCTGGGGGTGCAGGCTCTGGGGTGGGGCTGAGGGGAGAGGCTCGGGGTGCAGGTTCCGAGCGGCGTTACCTCAAGTGGCTCCTGCAAGCAGTGGCATGTCCCTTCTCCAGCTCCTACGCGGAGGCACGGCCAGGCAGCTCTGCAAGCTGCCCCATCCGCAGGCACCACCCCTGCAGCTCCCATTGGAGCGCCAGAGGGGGCCATTGGAGTGGAGCCATTGGAGTGCATAGGAGCTGGAGGGGGTCCATGCTGCTGCTTCCGGGAGCCGCATGGAGCGGCCCCTGACCCTGCTCCCTGGCTGGAATGCTGGAGCACGGCAAGCCCCAGACCGCGCTCCCCAGCAGGAGCTTGAGGGCCGGCCCATGGGCCATAGTTTGCCCACCCGTGTGTTAGCTGTAGGAGTTAAAAATTTACTTCTCAACACAGAATTTTGTTCAATAAGACATTTAAATTTTAAAATGCATTCATTTAGTCCTGGATATGTAACAAAGACTGTAGTTCAGACAAGAAACTTGACTGCACATCAAATTTTCAAAAGTGCCTAATGGCCTTTCAATGGACTTATGATCTTTTGGGCTTCTGCACTGCTCTGAATCTCCTGTGTTGTGGTCCCATCCTTAACATGCCCTTCCTGGCCCCAGCCCTGCTTCCAGCATGCCCCTATAATGGCCTTAGGAGGGGATCCTCAGAAAGCAGACCTATAGCTGTCTGTCATAATGCATGTGATAGAAGAATCCTTCCCCACCAACTGGATCAGTTGGCAAGAGCAAACGGGACAAATGCCAACTTTTGTCAAAAAAGCGACATGCAGTGCAGAGGAATGTGTGGGGGAATGAGTGGAGATGCCACCCCTTTGCAGGGGGGAAGGGCTTGTGCGGGGGCATGCAGGTTTCCAGCGACCCCAGCCTAGCGTGTGGGGGGAGGGCAAACAGGGTTCCAGCGACCCCAGCCTCATAGGGGTCTCATAGGGGCTGGGGGGTGCAGAGGGACTCGGGCGAGCAGCTCAGGCCAGCCCTGTGCTTAGGGGCAGGGAGGGCTCAGGCCAGCCCTGTGCAGTGTCCCGTTTTCCCTTTGGGAAATACGGTCACCATAATCACACACCATTTTCCCACAGAACTTGTCTCATTTAGTGAACATTGAATGTACTGTTTCTTTTTATATTAGGTGCTGGAACTAGCCACCCCACTGGCTTGAAGTGGTTTCTATCATATACAGGGTTTACAGTTTGGTTTAATGTATCTCAGCACCCCCACTATACAAATTGTTCCAATACCCCTGTCATCTTATCATTCTCATTCAGTGTGTTATTTTATGCACAGCATTCAAACTCTCCGCACCTAACTCTGCGCTGAATATAAAATTATATATAAATTAATGAATAATTAATAAAGGAATAATTTTTCAGGTGTGCAACTCCTACTGATTTCAGTTGATTGCCATTGATTTAAATGGGATTTTAGGGACTTCTGAAAATCTCACGAAGCACCTATCTGCATCTTTAGGCACCTGAATACCTTTTAAAATCTGGCCCTTAGTTAACATACCATATTTCTTTTCCTGCCACATAAAAATAGAAATAAATCTGAGGTAAAGCCAACTTTCTGTACATAAAGGTATCTATTTAGTTAAACAATTCTCCATTTCTACAAGTCTTTTCAAGACAACGGGCATTAACCAATGACTGAATAGTAGCAGATGTTCAACTGAAGCACTGGGTTTTGTAACAGAACTGAAAAGAGAATAGACGTGATCTCAAGCCACACATGGCTTGAGTTTAACTTGATTCAGTTATTAGTATTTATTATTTGTATAAAGGTGGTGCCTAGAAGTCCCAGCCGTGGACCAGGGCCCTGTGACATTAGGATGATGTGATGTTTTGGGGAGATCCCAGGTCAGTCAGGGGTTCTGTCACCCTTGTAACTTTGGGTGCTGTCATGCTATGCTGCTATGGCTCATAGTCCTGATACCAGTAGCCACCCCACAAGCATAAAGGTCTCACCCTAACTTCCAGCAGCCTAGTATCAGAGGGGTAGCTGTGTTAGTCTGAATCTGTAAAAAGCAACAGAGGGTCCTGTGGCACCTTTAAGACTAACAGAAGTATTGGAGCATCATTGGTCTGATGAAGTGGGCATGCACCCCGAAAGCTTATGCTCCAATACTTCTGTTAGTCTTAAAGGTGCCACAGGACCCTCTGTTGCTTTTTCCAGCAGCCTAGTTACTCCAAAGGCATGAAACCAGCCCCCAGTTATCAGTTCACTTTGGCACACACACTCCACACAATTTACACAACAGAGACCTGCTTGGGGTAAAAACAAACAAAAAGATTTAATAGAAAATAGAAAGAGGGGGAGGGATAGCTCAGTGGTTTGAGCATTGGCCTGCTAAACACAGGGTTATGAGTTCAATCTTTGAGGGGGCCACTTAGGGAATCTGGGGCAAAATCAGTACTTGGTCCTGCTAGTGAAGGCAGGAGGCTAGACTCAATGACCTTTCAAGGTCCCTTCCAGCTCTATGAGATAGGTATATCTCCATATATTATCAAAATCAAAGATGAAATAGTAAGAAAAAGCAAATACATACAATTTACACAGAAAACAAATACAAAGATGCAACTTCAGGCTTTGCACTTCTATGTTAGATAAATTCCCTTATCTCATACAAGTTACCTATTGCCTTTGAACAGTTTCCCAACATGCCCCCTAGCCCTCAGGGCGGATTCAGCATTCACAGAAAGCCCCCTGCCTTTGAAAGTGTCCCTCAGTTTGGATAACTTTCATTTAATCTCTGCCCTTCTCACAGGGTTTGCAGGATTTTTTACCCCCTTCCTCTCAGACAGCGGTGATTCCTGGTGGGAGAAATTCCCTCTCAACTTGGTAGTCAGGGCATCTCAGTGTTTGCCCTTACCTGTAATGGTCCATCATTTGTCTTTTCCTGAGGTGTACCAGGGATCGTTTCTTGCATCTGGTTTTGTGCAAACACCTGATTTGAGAGGCGGCCCTCCCTGCTGTGAGGTGTATTTGAAATTGTAGTACAGGCCATGAGCATAGTATTCTATATACATAAATACATAGATTCATAACCACAGTGTGTACACATCTCATAATGATCAACAAGTTCAGAACATTATAAGCTTTCATTAAAGATCTTACTCAACATATTTTTAAACACAACAGCATTGTATACAACTAGTTGATTCAATTGCTTATTTTTTGGGGTTCAGACCCACTGTTCCCCCTTGAGGTGTCTGGACCCTAATTGTCACAGAGGAATACTAAAGATAGGTCTGTCACAGTTCAGGGCAACTGCACCCATATACCCCCTCTGTGGTCCAGCAAGCATACCCACTCTAGGCTCCCGACTCCTCAGCCATTGCCTCTCTTGGGCAGAGACCCATGTCTCTGTCCCTTCTAACTGGTAGGGTTGCCAACTTTCTAACAGCCAAAAACTGAACACCCTTGCCCCACCCGCTGCCCTGCCCCTTCCCCAAGGCCCCGCGCCTGCCCTGCCCCTTCTTTGAGGCCTGCCCCCTGCTAACTCCATCCCCCCTCCCTCCCTCCCTTGCTCACTAGCTCATTTTCACTGAGCTGGAGCAGAGGATTGAGGTGCGGGAGGGGGTGAGGGCTCCAGCTGGGGGTGCAGGCTCTGTGGTGGGACCGGGGAAGAGTGGTTTCAGGTGCAGGAAGGGGCTCTGGGCTGGGGCTGAGGGCATTTGGGTGTGGGAGGGGGCTTGGGCAGGGGGGTTAGGGCACGAGAGGGGGTGCGGGCGCCAGGTGGCGCTTACCTCAGGCGCCTCCTCAGAAGCTGCTGGCATGTCCAGCTCCTACGCAGAGGCACAGCCAGGTGGATCTACGCACTGCCTCCACCCACAGGTGCCGCCCCCAGAGCTCCCATTGGCCACAGTTCCCACCCAATGGGAGCTGCGGAGCTGGCTCTCGGGCAGGGGCAGTGTGCAGCACCCCCATGGCCGCCCCTATGCCTAGGAGCTGGACATGCCAGCAGTTTCCCGGGAGCGGCATGGAGGTAGGGAGCTTGCCTGCGCCACCAACCGGACTTTTAACGGCCCAATCAGCGGTGCTGACCAGAGCCGCTCGGTCTCTTTTCGACCGAGTGTTCCAGTTGAAAACTGGACACTTGGCAATCCTACGGACTGGGGTTTTTCCAGGATGCACTGTTCTTTGTCTACACTGATATTCCTAGTCAGACTGCCTAAGCAGGCCAGCATCTGAACGTTGCTTATTCTTTGAAGGCTATGAACAACGTAATTGCCAGCAGCCAAGTTACCCCATAGTTCTTTATAAGCAAGCACATTTATTCTTAAGGTGAAAACATTACAGAGAAAACATATTAAAAAGAATAAAAGAACTTACATGCATGCTAAACACTTATTTGGAGTCTGGCAAGTGTCTGTCCTTCCAGCCCTTCCCAGGAAGGATTGGGGCCTCTTTGGACATATCAAGTATTATCTTTGGCATTTAATAGTGTAATACCTCCCAAAAATATTGCAGGAAACTGCCATATTTGACACAAGGTCGTGTGGCCATTAAACTCTTCAGATTATGTTATGGAATGACAGAAACAATAACCTACTCTTACCTTTGTATTTTCTGGTTATGACCTTGTGGTTTCCCTTAAAAACACCATGGCATGTTAAAATATACTGAAAAGCTAAAATATTTCATTAAAATATTGAAATTTTGCCTTTCAAAAATCCCTGCAACTGGGATAATTTGCAAAGCATTCACCCAATTTATGTTACAAATGAATAATTCAAAGGAAAAGCATTTAGCCAGAAAACCATATGTAAAATGATATGTAGCATATGAAGAAGACAGATGACTCCCCTCCCGCTTCCCAGTAATAATCAGTGTTTCCACCATAATAACAGTCCTTACAATGTAGCTGCATTTCTGCTGCTTTTGATTCTCTTGGGGGCAACTACCCCTTTGCTCGCCCAGACTGAAGCTGTAGTGAGCCAGAAATTACACCAAAAAATGTTGGGTCAAGTCCAGGAAAAAAGAAAAACACGGCATTTAGTGGCTGTTTTATTTTTAACTCTGGGTTTTGCTCCCCAAGCCAGCTGGCCCTGAGAATGCTGGGGAGACACTGAACTCAACCACTTGTGGGAGGAGGTGCCTCCCATCCTTCATCAGTAAGCTTTCTGCTTGATTCAGAAACAGCACTCACCATTTTCAAGCCCCCTCATCCAGTCTTCCTTGGCCAGAAAGCTGGTAGCCACAAAGCAAGGACTAATCAGCGAAGGATGGAACCCTGAAGGATCTAGGAAGGTCATCAAAAATGGAAGAGGCTTCCCCTGAAAATGTGCAATTCCAGATTAAATGAGCCCTCAGTCTCTTTAATGAACTTCTTTATGAAGATATCAGTAGGGACTAAGTGTTAAATGTACAAGTATTAACATTCACATCGTGGTTCCTTCTCATTGAGGAAGTTGTCCATGATACTTTTGACAAATTAAAATCTGCTTGGGCAGCTTTCATATCTCTAATTTCCATAGTGTCAGTTCTGCTTTTACATATTACTATGGATTTTCAGTGGAATAGCTGACGGCAGATTTGGGCCCAATATTTCTATTATTCAGATGCATACATGAGGCTCCCATTGACTTCAGTCAAGTTATCTTACCAATGTATGGTGTACTGTATTTGTTAGCCTGTTCAAATGCAGGGTTATGGCTTCACCACTACATGGCAGAGCTTTATATTACTAATGCTTTGCATAGTTGCCTGATATTCTGGTAACAATTGCTCCAGTAAACTGAGCATATGTACCTGCCTAAACAGCTTCTCAAACTGTGTTTTGAGTTGTGTCCAGTGTTGAGTAGAATGACAAACCCATACAGTGAAAAACACAACCGCATGTAGCCAGGGGAAGAAATTGGCCTTCAAGGAAATCTAAGACTAGATTAAGATCTGACACATTTGGATCTGACATGTTTTCATTATAAAGTGTATACCATTTGATATGCATTTGAGTCCTATTCGCTACAAAGTTTCAGTTAACAGGAGACAGTTTATCTGGCAAAAATCCCCTCCTCCTCTTCATCGTAGGAATGGTAGTAGGGCCTTCTTTCAGCCCTACCAAATCTCTCCCCTGCGGTTGCAAAAGATACTGGAAGCCAAGAAGAAAAAATGGTGTGATGAGAGAGGAATCATGGTGCCGTTGTCATTCCCAGCAGGATACAACTGTACAAGACTTGCCCTGTTCCTCTTCATTCTGTGCTGTGTGTGAGCATATGTGTCCTGTTTGTTTACAACTATAAACAGATGCTAGCCAGGAGGGGGCTTGAGAAGGTTTGAGGCAGAAGCTCTACAGCAAAGCAGTGAGAAAAAAAATTAGGAATAATGCCATTTTCCTTCTTCTAATGAAGTTACTTGTTCAGTGTTAGAGGAAGGAGACTCTTTCTGTGACTTCTTACCAGTCATAGGACACGGTCCTAAATTGATTTATTTTGAACCTCCATAAGTCAGAGAAAAACAAAAATGTCAAAGTTTAGCCCTGCCCAAGACATTCAGTGAGAAAAATCCGCAGAAGGTTTGACGGGATGGAGTGAATCATTAAGCTCAGAATCTGTTAAAGAGTTCTAATCCCTGCTCTACCTCTGACTAGTTAGAAGGCCATGGGCAAATCAGATTCCTTCTCTGCTTGAATTTCACCATCTGTAAAATAAAGGTTGTAATTTTAGCTTCCTGTTTCACAGGCAAATTGGGCAGGTTAATTATTGGGGACAAATCTGAATTCACTTACTCTACGTTTACACCAATATAATTCCATTGTTCTGATTTACACTAATACAAGTGAGAGGAGAATCCAGCCCAACAGCTTTACATTACTTTGAAGAACTATATACATATCTAGTATTATATTTGGCATTTAAATACAAAGGTAGTAAATGCTTTAGAAATATCCAAATTAGACAGCAAGAGCCAGAGTCAGTTTTATATATAATGAAGCTCTTCAGCAAGTGCACTGATAGTCTCAGATAGAAAGTGACACAATATATGAATGAAAATATTAAGGTATTACTATTATTACAAAACGTATATTTACTGTGATTGGTGTTTCTAATTTCTTGAACTTTGCAAACTCTGCCTTTAATAGACAGTCACTTTGTGAACTACTACTTTTACACACTTTGCAATTCCTGAGGAGTTTTTTTAATGAATTATATAAACAATAACAATCAAGGTGTAGGAAATTTCCTGGGGATTAATGACTGGCTGGGAGGAACTGAAGGCCCAAGGCACAACCAAGGATCATTAACCCAAACAAATTGTCTTGTGCCAAGATTGTTATTGTTGTTATAAACTGCAGATGGAATAAACACTGTCATGTGGATTTTTATTGGAGATGCAGTTATAATTGTTATATTTAGTGCATTTCAGAATTAATTATATTCAGGAAAATTACATTAGCCAGTCAGATTGCCAGAACAACACTTCATTCATCTTACTATCTTTACTATATTTACTGGAACTATCACAAGCAAAAAAAATTTTTTCCATTGGTGTTTGTGCATAATGCTTTTATACATTTTGATTCTTATCCTAAATGTTATATTTCTAAAGTTTGTTTCTCACTCACACAAAACACCCTTGTTTGACTAGAATGCTGCTTTAAATTTATTACATTTTTAAAACTGATGTTTCAAAATATTAGCAAGACAAAGTGGGTGAGGAAATGTCTTTTATTGGATCAATTTCTGTTGATGAAAGAGACGAGCTTTTGAACTTACACTGAGCTCTTCTTCAGGTGAAAATATGGCTGTTCACAAAAGCTGGCCATTTGGAAGAGGTTATATTTAACTAGAGAGCTCTTAAAATAGCAGGGGGTAGCGAACCCCATAAGAGTCATAGGAACTCCTTTAGGGGAAAGTTATACTAGTGACTTAGGCCTAGATCTTCAAAGATATTCAAGCACTTAACTCCTACTGAAGTCATTGGGAGCTAAGCACCTAAATACCTTTAAGGATCTACGCCTTAGTGCTGTAGGCTAACACTCACATTTAAATCCATCACCTAGTATTTTAGTGATTTTTAAATTAATACAAAGTACTAATTGTTTTGAACTGGAGTTTACTATATTTAAATACATAGTTTACTTACATTTTTTCTCAGTCAGGGCCTGACCCAAAGCCCAATTAAATCCATGAAGGGACCCCCAATGACTTCACAGGACTTTCAATCAGGACCTTGATCATGATCTATCCCAGTTCTTTTCACTTGTTAAGGAGAAGGAAGAGAAAACAAAACCTAACTTTGACACTGCCTCAAAAGTGATGGTTCTCAAATGAGTCTGTTACTACAGGGCAAAGATTTAGGACTTGTATGTGGAACTCTAAACAAAGTATTTGCATTGCTGGTCTCATATGGGAATATGGTAAAATTCACTGTGACTGTGCTTTAACCTCAGCTGAATTTCCCAATTTATGACACTTAAGAGCTAAGTGCTGGGTTGGATTGGGATCACAATATATGAATGCGAAGTATTAAGGTATTATTATAAAAAGCATTGTTTACTATGATTTGTGTTTCTAATTTTTATTTGTGTTCCAATTATTATCCTTAGTCGCAACCATAACATACTTTTACTGTCATGGTAAGCCCCTCTTAAAGTTCTAATTATTGTAGCTTTCTTTACAAGTCAAATTCTATTTTTAATCCATACTGCAGTATTAGAAAAACCACAGCCATTGCAGTATGACCTCTGCTTCAGTTCTTTCAATTAAACCATTAAACTACAGCTGCTCTCAGCGTACTACATGTCATATCCTGAATGAGTGCTAACAAATTTTTGTGTTTTAGTGAAAGGTTCCCACTGAGTAAGGTGAAATTCAGACCATGAGCTTTTCCTGTTTACTCATAATATTGCAATAAACATGACAGAAGCTTGGTATGTGGACAATTTCTGCAAATAAACAGACCCTCTAAATCCTTTTAGGAGCAAGACTGTGATAATTAGATTATTTTAGAGAACAGATTTGACTCAAACTCCTGGATGGATTGGAAAAAATATTGAGGATAAACACCTAAGTCCTTCCAGAGTAGCTTGGCAGGAAAGTGGAATAATAGCATTAATTTAAAAAACACTGCCTCTTCAATTATTAGCTTTCCCATCAGTATTTAATTTTAGGAAACAGTGCTGAGGGCCTTGTGTTTCAGAATGGATAAAAACAGAATGTTTTCAGGAAATATTTCACTGAGATATTTTAATACTGTTACTAGAGTTGTCAGGCGTTTGGTTTTCAATCAGATCGCTTGGTCAAAAAGGGACCCTGGCAGCTCTGGTTGGCACCGCCAACCGGGCCATTAAAAGTCCAGTTGGCAGTGCAACGGGGGCCCGGGACTAAGGCAGGCTCACTGCCTGCCCTAGCTCCGCGCAGCTCCCAAAAGCAGCCGTCAGGTCCTTGCAGCCCCTAGGCGCATGGGTGGCAAGGAAGGCTCCGAGAGCTGGCCCCACCCCGAGTGCTGGCTCCCAGCTCCCATTGGCCTGGAACCGTGACCAATGGGAGCTGCGAGGGTGGTGCCTGTAGACATGAGAGCACCATGCGGAGCCTCCCTGGCTGCCCATGCGCCTCGGAGCTGCAGGAATCTAGCAGCCGCTTCCTGGGAGCTGCAGTAAGTGCCGCTGGGACCCCACACCTCAACCCCCTGCCCTGGTCCTGAGCCCCCTCCTGCACCCCAACCCCCTGTCCCCAGCCCGGAGTCCCCTCCTGCACCCAAACTCCCTCCTGGAGCCCGCATTCCCCCCCAACACCGCAACACCCTGCCCCAGCCCTAAGCCCCCTCCTGCACCCCAAACTCCTCATCCCCGGCCCAACCCCAGAGCCCACACCCCCAGACAGAGCCCTCACCCTTCACCCCGCATCTCAACCCCCTGCCCCAGCCCGGAGCCCCTCCTTCACCCCAAACCCCTCATCCCTGGCCCCTTCCCAGAGCCTGCACCTCCTCCTGCACTCCAAACCCCTTGGCCTCAGCCCGGAGCCCCCTCTTACACCCCAAACCCCTCATTTCTGGCCCCACCCAGAGCCCACACCCCCATCCCAGAGCCCATACCCCAATCCCTTTCCCCAGCCCGGAGCCCTCTCCCGTACCCCAAACCCCTCATCCCAGCCCCACCCCAGAGCTCACACTCCCAGCTGGAGTCCTCACCCCCCTCCAGTACCCCAACCCCCTGCCCCAGCCTGGTGAAAGTGAGTGAAGGTGGGGGAAAGCAAGCGACGGTGGAAGGGGGATGGAGCGAGCAGGAGCAGAGCTTCAGAGAAGGGGTGGGGCAGGGGCGGTGCCTCAGAGAAGGGGAGGGGCAGGGCAAGGGTGTTCGGTTTTGTGTTTTTAGAAAGTTGGCAACCCTAACTTTTAGGATTGTTTTCAATTATTTGTTGATTTTTTTGAAAGGTTGTATGCTTCAACTCCTTTAGGGCACGTTTCAAATCTTAATCCACTGAAAAGTAAAAAGTGGGTTAATTATACATGTATACTTTGTACACTGTACATGTGTTTGCTACACTTGTTCTGTTCATTCCCTCTGAGGGACCTGGCATTGGCCACTGTCGGAAGACATGATACTGGGCTGGATGGACCATTGATCTGACCCAGTATGGCCATTCTTACGGGTATACAGGGGAAAGAGCATGTACCAGTTCTCAAGTTTCAATAATCTGCCACTCTCATTCCCACAAAGTAATTAACCCTTTTCTGACTGTCTATAAAGGTCCCTGTCCCCACATTGTCACTGGTAGAAGTTAGCTGTGCTGACCACTTCAGAAAAGTTTTCTACTGCACTCTTTTGATCAGTAGAGGTGAACATGGGATCCTGTCCCAAGAGCAGCTGCCTGGCCCACCAACCACCCCCAGATGCTGATCAGTGTGTGGTCAGAGTACACCAACCCCCACGACTTCTCCTGGAGTGGCAGGAACATACGTGGACATTTCAGAGGCTGGAGCAGGTAGGCATTGAGCTGTCTCTGGTTCCAGTGCTGGGAATGCATCAAGCACCTGAGGCTCCTGTACCAGAGGTCCGAAGACCCCAACTGTAGCTCAGGGAAGACTTGTCTGCTGTCAAGGGTTCCCAGTACAGAGCCTGAAGTGGAGGATTGTGAACTGGGATCTGGGGTGATTTTTATTTTGCGGAAACGTAGTTTGAGTGCAACAGAATATTCAGAAGGCACTGAAACTACTTTTTGAAAAGAAAATAAATTACCCAAGCAAATGCTTACTGCTGGGAGAGAAGAGTGATTGGAGGTGGAAGAGTAAGTGGGAACAGGGGAGAGGAATTGGGGAATAAAGTGATGGGGACTAGGGAGAGTGGAAGAGCTGGGGTGGGACACGAGGAAGTGGGACATAGAGGTGATGGGGGCTTGGGAGAATAGGGGCAGGGATCTGCAGCAGCCCCACATTTCCCTCCTGTGTGTGCCTCAATCTGCCCTCTACAGCCCATCTCCAGCAGTTTGGCCCCCCACACACCCTGCCCTCATGTGAGCCAGGATCTGGGGAAGAGGCTTGCCTATATGGGGAGCGTTCAAGCACCTCTCCTTACTCCCCCTTATAAGATGGGATCTGGAGGTCTCTGCCACCAGGGGTGGTCTGAGTCCTACTCTGAGCCCCTCTGTGTGTGCCAGGCTCTGGGAGCTCTAGCCCATCTATGGCAATCTGATCCCCCTCACTGTCTCCTGTCACGTGACCCAGGTTGTGGGGGCTTGCTTTGCTGGGGCAGGGTCTGAGTCCCTCTCCCTTCTGCAGGATCTGAGGAAGCCCTGCTCCTCTGGGTGGGGAGCTTAGAACAGGCATGCTTCTAACAGGCACCGAGAACTCACCGCTGTGACAGGTGAGGAGCTGAGGATGGGTATGCTTGATGCAAATCATAAACTCTCCAGCACTGGGGAGGAAGGAAAGGAACACCCACGGACATGAATGGAGTGGAATTAACCCATGGAATTAACTTTCAAGTGGTATTATTGAGGCCAGGAGCTTGGAGCAGATTATATAAGAAGGCATGAGGAATATAAACTCTCACGCTTCAGGCCATAAGCCAACCATTAACTAAGGGGTGCTAAGAAGAAAATTCCTCTTTAGACAAGTTATTCCATAGTTGTCCTGCAAGAGGCTGGCAGTGTTTGCCTGAAAAACTCCACTGTTAGCAGGTGCTGGTGTTGGTACTGGTGGAAAAGGGGATGGTGGGTACTATTGATTCACTGAGGCAGGATACTGTAGCCCCTATGGACATAAGGGAGGTGTAGGGTTGCCAGGCATCTGGTTTTCGACCAGAACGCCTGGTTGTAAAGGGACCCTGGTGGCTCCGGTCACACTGAGCTGCTAAAAGTCCAGTTGGCGGCGCAACGGGGCTAAGGCAGGCTCCCTGCCTTCCTTTGCTCCACGTGGCTCCTGGAAGTGGCCGGCCGTCTCTTTGGCCCCTAGGTGCAGGGGCGGCCAGGGAAGCTCCACGTGCCAGCCACGCTCTGAGCACCGGCTCCGCAGCTCCCACTGGCCGGGAACCACGGCCAATGGGAGCTGTGGGGGCAGGGCCTGTGGGTACAGACAGTGTGCAGAGCCGCCTATCCACGCCTCCGCCAAGGGGCCGCAGGGACATGCCGGCCACTTCCGGGGGTCACATAAGGTAAGTGCTGTCTGGAGCCCGCATCCCGAACCACCTCCCGCACCCCAACCATCTGTCCCAAACCTGAGCCCCTGCCCGCACACAAACTCCCTTCCAGAGCCTGCACCCCGCACCCTCTCCTGCACCTCAAACCCCTCATGTTTTTCATATTGATATTTGATATGCCAGGGTACTGATGCATGGCAAGTAGTGAGAATAGGCAGCTGTTTACCAAAATATTGTATCTTGATTAGCAGCTTTAGTCAGTACTAGATGGGACCGTGTTATTAGGAGCAGCAGAGGAGGGTTTTCCAGAGGACACTAGTGGGTTGTATAAATAATGTTTCTTGACAGACCATCAGCAGAAAATGACCCAATGTTACTCATCCTTTTTCTCTGTCTCTACTTACTGTAGTTAATTCAAGAACTGTAAAATTGCAGGTCACACAGCTCATTTTTATGTATCCATGTAGGGTCAGATTTAGTTTCCCTTACTGAGATTCATTTCAATAGAATCACTTGCGGAGTCACCTGCTATTCAACCTGAGAAAGGGTGGCAGAATCTGGCCCATAAGGAAAGACCATAATGCAATGCACTCAAGTTAAGGTTGCTATGGAAACATTCTAATTTAGACCAAGTTCTATCTGATATGTACAACATTTTCTGTGGCTTTGCATATCGACAAGTATCTGTTTGCACACCATGAATAATGAAATATTAACTGACTGTCATGGGTATTGCAGGTTTAAACTTAATCTTGTGTTGAGACAGTTCTTTACACACACATTTCCTAGGTTTCTTAGGGAAAAGAGCAGTAGAAAGAAGGGAAAAGGAATGAAAAGTTAAAAAATGAAAGATTGGTGAGGAGCCTGAGGACTAGTTTGTCGGACTAGTTACTTTTCTTTCTGGCTGCAGAATCAGTATCTGATCTTCTGGGAATTATTTTTTGGCTTGTAAGGTGATACAATTCAACATTTTCATTGGATTGTGCTCATGTTGAGCCTTTGTCAAGCAACAACAGTCCTCTGACGCTCTACATTTTTTCATGTGCACACCTATGAACATATTTTAAAGGAAATTATAAAACAAAACATATTAAAATTACAGACAAAAGTAAATGCTGGTAAGAACATATTAAGTGATTTAGAATAGCAGACGGACTGCAGTTAGTAATCAAGGGGCCTGTTTTTGTCTCTGTAGATCAGTGATTTCCAGCTTGAGTGATTCTAGATTTCCTGAGGGGGGTTATGGTGGCCTAGAAGAGGAATTGTGGAGGTAACAAAAATGTTATCATCTCAGATTCCAACTAACGCCACTAAAAAAAATAACTTCAGGTTGTCTGCTTTCCCTTCCTGCTTCTTTGCAAAGTCAGTTGGCTGTGGAAGCAGCAAATACATCAGCAGAGGGGAGCAACAATGGGAGAGGGAGAACAATGGTGTTACCCATTGCAAGCACAGTAACATGAAACATATAGGTCTGTGCATACATATTTTTGTCTTGCTCTTATACCTGTAGAAGCAGAAATGTGTTACAATTTGGCCTGGAGATGTCCATCCACGCTTTGCTTCTGTCAACCATTAATAACCTTGTCATGGAATCACAGAGTTGAAGAGGTCTCTGTAAGAAGAAACAGTGTTTTTTCAGAGTGTAAATGGGAAAAAAATGATATTGGCTATGGAGGGAGCCAAACTCTTGGAAGAATTATGGCTCTTCTGCATAATAATAGGATTGTGAGGGAACTAATGCCCTGACCAATAGGAATGGTACTAGGAGCCTTCTCAGGTACATCTACACTGGTGTGCATGCTCAGTTACGTAACCCTGTACATGCTTGTGTGTGTTCCCTATTCCGCAATGATTGTTCACATATGCTGTGCTGGACATGAGTATAATGCTGTGTACACACTCATAGACTTTAAGGTCAGAAGGGACCATTATGATCATCTGGTCTGACCCCCTGCATGCTGCAGGCCACAAAGCCGTCCCTACCCTTTCCCTTGACTCTGCTGTTGAAGTCCCCAAATCCTGTGGCTTAGTGACTTCAATTGGCAGAGAACCCTCCTGCTAGCGATCCCTGCCCCATGCTGCGGAGGAAGGCGAAAAACCTCCAGGGCCTCTGCCAATCTACCCTGGAGGAAAATTCCTTCCCAACCCCAAATATGGCAATCAGTAAAACCATGCACACGTATCCACACTGCTGCTTTTGCTACGTGACATTAGTGGTACCCATCTCAGGTATAGTATCCCAGGGGTCTGAGTGTCAAGTGAGACACTCCAGGAACTGCCGTGCTGTGTGTTGTTGGTACTTGTCCCCTGCCTTCACACATTTGCCCATGGCAGTTCTTGTTCATATTACCAGGGCTTAAATTCTCATAGAGTATTTCCAGGAGCCCTATGGCTTGGGGCTTCAGCCCTATGGAGGGCACTGGGGCTCAGGTCTTCTGCTCCGTAGGAGGTGCCGGGGCTTCAGCCCCAGGAGTTTGAAAATATTTACCGTAGCTCTGTTCCGGACAGTTCTGGCTGAATTTAAGCCCTGCATGTTACCTTCCTGCCAAACTTGGTGAAAGACACAGAGCAACTGGACGATGATCTGGTTCTGCTTCTATTTCTTATTGCGGGACAAATGTTTACGCAGTGGAGTAGGGGATCGGCAAGATGCAGGAGGGAATCTGGGCAGAACTTTCTGACGTGTTGGAGATGGCTCACCATGAAAATGAATGACAATCCTTTTGGGTCCTGTAGAGCAGATCTGGTGAATGTTGGTATTGCCACAGTATACCAATAAAGTAGACAGTCGCTTCTGGTCCAAGACAACCAGCATGGTGTGGTGGGATCATATTGCTCTGGAAAGCTGGGATGACTAGCAGTGGCTTCAGAACTTCTGAATGACTAAACAGACCTTCATGGAACTGTGTAATGAGCCTGCACTACTCCTTGCACCATACCGCCAGAACTTGATTCCGAGAAGCCATATTGGGGTAGAAACAGGTGGCTATTGCCCTGTGGAAGCTGGCAACATCAGACAGCTATTGGTCAATTGCAATCCACTTTGGGGTTGGAAAGTCCATTGTTGGGGTCATGGTTGTATAGGTTTGCATGGCAATTAACACTGATCTATCCACAGGTGGTTGCCGTAAGCAAAATTCCAGATATAATAGCTGGATTTAAGAGGATGAGTTTACCAAACTGGGACATTGATGGCACCCACATCCCAATATTTGCCCACCAAAAGGGGTGAGTGAGAATGAGAACCAAAAAGGTTACTATTCACTTGTTCTTCAAGAGTCAGTGATCCACACAGGCAGTTTCATTAATACCAAGGTGGGAAACACCGCAAAGGTTCATGACACCAGGGTGCTGAGGAGATCTGGACTGTACTTGAAGGGGGGAGAAAGGACTTTATTCCCAAGAAATGATGTGTTTCTCTATAATATGTCTGTGCCAACAGTTATTTTGGGGGACACCACATACCCACTCCTAACTTGGCTCATGAAACTATACCCTATCAGTGACCCTGGAAAAAGGGAATTCAATTATAAACTCAGTAACTGGAGAATGATCATAGATTTCAGCCTACCAAACGTGCAATCTTGTTGGTGCTGCCTACACACCCATCTGGATGCCAATGTGGCCAACACTATTTGCATAATCATCACCTGCTATGCACTGCATAACATTTGAGAGAATAAAGAGGAGTGCTTCTGTCCAGAGCGGTCACAGGACATGTCTGGTTTACAAACTGCATACAGGAAGCCAGATCCCACCCACATGCACACTGATCCTGGTTCCCAGGGGGCAAAGGAAATCAGGCAGGTCATATGTGCACACATCTTGGCACAGCAGGGACGCAAACGGAGATATCTCCCTGTGCCGAGGGACACCTTCACATCCTGTGCAGCTGCTAGAAAAGCACGAGGAAACATTGGCACATACTTGTGGGGCTACATATCTTTGTGAGGGTTTTGGTCCCCTGTAGCTGATGGGCATTAGCCTTTCATTCCTATGACTATTCACCCATTACAGACAATTATAACAGGGCGCTTCCACTGGGTTAACAATTTAGGGATTGGCTTGGTGCTGTGGAGGGTAGGACTGAGTTGCAATGTGGACATTGTACACTGCTTTTATCTTAAGCATTCACACTGGCTTACCAAACTCTGTTCTCAGTAACACTGAGTCTCTCTTAACAACCTAATCTATATTTGGTTTGGAGGGGGGCGGGGGTTCACCTTTTTTTCCCCCCACCATTCATTGTTGGTGCTGCTAACTTCACTTAGTAGCTATTATGGAGCACTAACCCCAAGGTTGTAACTGGTCGAGGTTTGGGGAGACCAGAAGGGGCTGTTTAATGACTGGGTAGTAGCAGATGCCTGTATTGTTAGTTTAATTGTGTTTCATTGTTCTGTATATGAACCAAGCCATAAAGATGCTTATCTACCCATTTTCTGTGTTGTGAGTTCTGCTTTTAAAACTATCAGTGATTTCTCTAAGCACATAACAATGCACATAACCCATCCATCCCGTGAATCAGGGAGCCCAATTCCAAACCTGAAAACATCTTACATTCATTATACTTAGCAAGGAGGGTCCACGCACAAGTCAAGGAAATGATGACATTTATTAAAAGTAGTATATGAAACATGTAGTTGAAATATTTTTAAAAGGAGTAAAGCAACAAAATGTAATGGGACTGAATCCATAAACAACGATCAAATATTAATGTATTTGCATCTGTCTTCTTGCCCTCCCCCACCACCTAACAAGGGGGAATGACTGTGGAAAACTGCTCTTGGGGACATTTTGTGTGTGTAGTCTGGGGGGCAGGCACTTGATGGCTTCCAGGATTCCCACAGGCTCATCATTCCTCACTTGGATGCTCCGTGGGGTCCTGCTGTGAGGGGTTTTGGCTGCTGGCAGAGGGTGTGGTCCCGGGAGTCCTACAGGCTCCCTCCATTCTCAGGGGGCTTGGGTCCTCTGCCTCAGCAGCACCCTTGGTGGGCCGGAGGAAGAGGAGGTAGGGCTGGTTCACAGAGAGGTGATGTGGCCATGACAGCAAACAGACTCCGAAACTGTTCAGCTACCAGTTCTATGAGCATTAGGGAATGCTCCCGTTCCCTAAGCACACCTCCTGCTCCAGGAACCAGTTCATCAGTGTCTCTTCCTGCTGAAGAGCCTGATCCTTCCATACTTGAGGAATGCAAACTGCTCCTGGTTTCTCCTATTCATGCCAATGAGCAGGTCCTATGGTGGCCTTCTCTGTCTGCCTCTGCAGTGCTGCCCCTGCCCTCCCAGCAGAATGGTTTTCATCTCAGGGGTCAAAGGTACTGCCAATTCAAAGAAATTATATGTTGATTTTCCTTTGGAAGAAACCAAGAAATCCCCCGCATATAACATAAATTTGATGTAGAAGGCCACAATTTTGATAATTTTCAGCATTTCAGGAATGTGACTGTTAGACTACCCTTGGTTCTGAGACAACCTTTGCAGCCCCTGAGGAAAGAGCAGAGGCTACTAATGGTAAAATACACGTACTAAAGTTTTTAAAAATGTAAAATTTTCATAGTGTCTTACGTAGGGTATGGGGAGGGAGGTGGCAGTTCCATCAAGGGACTGTTACCAGTTTGCAATTTCTTCTTTAAAGACTAGCCAACATCTGGAGACCATAGCAGTTTTCAAGGTATCAGAATGGAAAAGAGAGGTGGCTTTCCAGTCCTGTGGAGAAGATATATATTTCTGCTAGTGGTCACCTTGCTGCATATTGCTGAATGGAGGGCTTTGAACAGTTATGAAAGTGGACTAAGCACATTTGCGCTGTCGTTGAAACTCAAGAACCCGCTGGAGTTTCTGCTACACCAAAAATTTGCTGAAATATTCTTACAAGATTGGGAGGCAATTTGATGATAAATTGACTACATTCTCGCCTATGTAACTGCTCTTGTGCCACAGAGCACTGAAGCAACATCACAATATGACAGCAAACATTCTCATCAGTCAGTGGGGGAGTGAGGAAGGGTAAAGGAAAGTATCAGTCTATCAGCCAGCCTTTCATGGTGGAATAGAGGGGGAATTCACCTCTTTCTCCTCCTCTCCTGGCTGTGACTTGGAAGTGGTTCCACTCTTACATACGGAGACAATCTCAGTGGCTCCTTTTCACCCCATCCACAGGGAGGAAAATCTCAGCTATTTCAACACAGGTGAATTGATTTGCCAAATCTAAATAGAGGAGTGGAGTGCCACTCAGATTTGCACAATTTCTGAGAGCCTCATGAAGACTGTAAAGGGCCACAGGCAGCTAAAGAGTCGTGGATTAAGTATCAGTAGATTAGATTAACTGCACTGAGCTCCAAAGAGGATGGGCCACAGAGCTTATTCAGTGCAAACAGGAGAATCATGATTTCTGTCAACAAAAAAAAATTAATCTCAAAGCCTAGTTTAATAACATGGCAAAGATACCATTCAAATGAGAATATTATTGACTTTTAATAATTTCTAGAAATTGAAATAGAATCTGTTTTGGCAAAAGCATTACAGTCTTCTACCAAAAAAAACATTTTATTCAGTTATGTAAGCAATAAAAATAAACGTTTTATAAAATTTACCCCAAAGGACTTAGAAAGTATTAAAAAAACAATAATAATTAACCAGAGTTCTTGATGTGTACAGCAGCCAAAAATAACATCTAGTACAGCTGAAGATGGTGAGGTCATTTCTTGTATTGCACTCTAAACACTGACCACCTGCAGAGATGCAAAAATATTCAAAAGTATCTATTTCCCAAATATAGACAGACTGAAAAATTCTCAGTCTTTTACATGATTTTATTTTGCCAAAGTAATGGAATTCAATACACATTTAATGTGCATTACAAGTAGTTGTTCCTATAGTGCAAAATTTCCCCATACATTTATGAAGCTGATACTGTCTCCCCCTGAACAAAAGTGTCCTGATGCCAGTCTTCAGTATTCTTTTCCAGCTAATCTAAATGGTAACATTGGCATTGCCACTTTAAGTCAAAGTTTTGCTCTTACAAAAAGAGATAACGTGTCTCTGCTCTACCACAAACAATCATACAAACATAAAACGAACTTTATTCTTAGATAATATTTGATGGGGATGTAGCAAATGTCTAATTTTAGCATTCTACTGAATATCAGATAATGTAATGTTTATCCAAAAGTGGATAAGGCCAATAGTGGATATCACAATCAATATAATAGTCACATGTTTTAAAATGAGTCATGACCCAAAAGTCATTATTTCATAAATTGCCCCAAAAAACTAATTTAATCTTCTTTAGGTATAAAAGGAGTCCTCTATATCGCAGGGTGAGTGGCTGATTAGCTACTGGAAACACTTATATGAAATTATTGGTTGGTTCTAAACCCACAAGAATGATACAACAGATGTACAATTTTACACTTGTATCTTCCATTTGAGGATCTCGGTGTACTTTATAAACAAGAATTAAGCCTCAAAACACAGACTAAGGGCAAGTAATAGTATACCCATTTTAAAGATGAGTTATAAGAATATAACATTAGGGATCTATTATAGACTACCTGACCAGGACAGTGATAGTGATGATGAAATGCTAAGGGAAATTAGAGAGGCTATCAAAATTAAGAACCCAATAATAGTGG